CGAGATGCTGCAGGCTGTGCGATGCCTCGTCCCGCTGTAGATAATATGACCCATCTCCAGGCAGATATTGACATTTCTGTACTGAATGAACTCAGTGGTACCAAAATTGATCCATAACTGGGTTGTGTCTTGTGTGTCTCGTGATCTGCACTCTAATGAAGATACAGTACGGTCGGCTTTATAGTACTATATAGTGGAGATATACTGTGATGTGGTATTGTCTGTATTTGCCTGTGTTATTTTAAGAGGAACTTTCTTGCTATCCATCGATTAAAACTAGGGCTGCTTGATATGGTAAAAAAAAATCATATTGCATTCATAGTGACAGATATAAGGATTGCAATATGATTCACAGCTAGTGGGAATGATCATTTTTGCATCACAATTTTCATTTTCACAGTAAAAAAAAACCTATTGAAATCATGATGATGTGACATTTGTTGTGGTCTGTACGAAACAAACATGTTTTCCTTACATCTGGATAACAAGATTTTTAGCCCAGGGCATCTCTGCAGCACTATAGTACTTAGATATAATGCAGTTTTGTTACACATTTTACCTTTATCAAAAAATTACAGCTTCTGTGATTTGAATACCATATCCATATTGCAATTTTGAAAATATTTCAGCCCTGATTAAAATGTTTAATTTGCAACTTCTATTGGTCAAATACTAATTTGTCTTCTCTTTTAACTGTAGCATTTACTAAAATGATCACAATAAATGGACAAGAGTACCATCTTCAGCTGGTAGACACAGCAGGACAGGTATGACTCGGGTTATTGAGTTTCATGTGACTATGTATTGTTATGATAGTGTTACTTTCTTTCATAGTTTGGTGCAGTGTTTCATTCTTTCTAATCTAAACCTGGAACTTTGCATACTAATTTCCTCACAATTTCTGTTTCTACAGGATGAGTACTCTATCTTCCCACAGACCTACTCCATAGATATCAACGGTTACATTCTGGTCTATTCAGTCACATCTAATAAAAGGTAATACCCCCTTTTTAAAGGCAAACAAATATCTCTCAAGTTCTGTATAATGCGTCAAGCTGCGTACAGTTCCTGAATGCTGAAGTAGGAACTTTGCCCTCATTTCTTCCAGCTTTGAAGTTGTACAAGTTATCCATGAAAAACTATTGGACATGGTGGGAAAAGTTCAGTAAGTACTTCTTTTGCTATCCAAGGCATTCCAAGACGTATGTAATATATCACACAAATGACAGTGTGCTGTTGACTTTTCCCTCTCGTGCAGAGTACCAATTATGCTGGTCGGAAACAAGAACGACCTACATATGGAGCGGTATGTCCTAGCACACACCTAAATTGTATATTAGGTCACATACATATACATATGCATGGGGAATAGCATTTGCCAGTTTTAGTCATTATTTCTGTATAATTTTTTTCATAATTTTGTGGGCTCTCTGCGGCATAATTGCAAATTAAACATGCCCAACATGTGACACACAAACAGAAATACAGAGCAGATGTTAATATCTGGTTCAGATGACCCAAAAGAAGGGGGGAGCCATTTTTACCAAGCAAGTCTAGTTATACTCACCTATGCTTGTTTGTGTGTCCATGCAAAAATACATTACAAATGGAAGAGTATATAAGAGCAGGTTTCTTATTAATTGAACTCTAACTAATCTAACTGACTGACTGCCCTGCTGTCCCTGTGTGTGTGTTTTTTCTTTAGAGTAATCAGTTGTGAAGAAGGAAAAGCATTAGCTGAATCCTGGAACGCTGCCTTCATGGAGTCCTCAGCTAAAGAGAACCAGGTAAAGAGCCGAGGCTGCAGAGATCTTGTTCAGGAGCAAGTATTGTCTATGTTGTTTGTCCTTTTTATCTATCTGTTAACAAATGAAACTATTAAAACTACATTTTTAACCTGCTATTACCCGGCTGTAATAAATAGCTGTTCGCGTGAATTTGATGATTAAATTGTCACAAAGGTCAGGCGCCCCCGGTAGCTCACTTGGTAGAGCGCGTCATAGTCCTTCCTGCAGTGCCACAGGTTTGAGTCCGGCCTGAGGCCCTTTACTGCATGTCATCCCCTCTCTCTCCCCCCTTCTCTCTTGACTGTTCTGTCTAATAAAGAAAAAATCCCCCACAAAATATAATTATCACCAAAGTTTGGTGTAATTATTCTGACAAGGGCTCAGTACCATTTAAGTTTAGAATCATTAAAGGGGAACTCCACTGCTTTTACAGATCAAAATGGGTTTGTTCATCATGGGGAAGAGCCTGTGGGCAGTTGAATAACATCTTCTGTGGCTCTTTCCAAAAGAAATACAAAAATAACCCTGACGATGTCATCATAATTGTCATCATTTGGGCTTGCAGAGTACCAATTTGTACTAGAGAAGCTATGGGGGCATGGAGTTTGAAAGACGTGGGTGTTTATAAGGGGGGGTCTAAGAAAGATGATATCAAGTTCACATTATGGGAAGTGTAGGATCCACCAGGTTTATGGAAGTGCTGTAATAAAGCACTGGAGTGCCTCCTTAAGATTTTCACTATATCAGGCTCCATTTATGGATTCTAACAGCATACTCACATATATATTAAAGAAAATGGTTTGTTTTTCTGTAAATAGATGCTCTTTTCTGGCCCATATCTTGCTGGGCCCTTTATGGGTACATGTGTCATTTCAAGAGAAACTTAATTATTCGAACTACATTGCTGCCAGTAACCAGCGGTAAAGCAACAGGACTGAAATATGAGGGTATTTGAATTTAAAGCTGTTCTAATCAGTATTTCTATAGTGGATCAAATTACCTTGTGTATTGTAAAAGGGTTGCGTCACAGTGATGAACCCACAGAGGACTATTACCCGACTCTTCAGTTCCCCTCAGCTCTACGGAGCCTTTTAGTGTCTTTCATCTCATTGTTTTAGTTCAACAACCCGCAACTTCCTTTTTGGTTCGGTCTCTACGCTCTCATCAGCGTTTCCAGCAAGGCAATACAATCCCACTGTACACAACCTAGCTGCACAGCATGAAACTGTCCTCTGACCCAGTTAGTGATTAGTTGGTAAACCAGCGAAAAAAACCATATAGTTACCTCAGAAGTTGGTGAACAGCTAACCACAACTAAAAGAGAGTGATATTGGACTTAACATTCGTCAAGCATGACTCCAAATGAATGCTTTTGGAATGTGTAAATAAGCCACTGTCTGCTAACACAATTGGTATATCAACTTTGCCGCCCCCTTGTGGCCAAAAAACTAAATGCATGTTTAACAGTTGTTTAAAAGTTTACCACAGCATGTTCTATACACTATTCTTTCATTTCCATTCAGGAAGAGGGTAAAGCTTGGCCAACATGAGCTAAAAGTAAAGAACACAAGCAACAGTAATCAATTCTTGAAACCCTCTTTCCATTTTCTGGTGGGTGTGTTTTCCACCATAGCTCAGTCTCATATTCAGGTAGTTTGTTCATCTGCTTCAAATTCAGTTAGCAAACAAAAACAACGCAACCTCTGTTGTGCCTGAAGCCAGTGAGGCTCCACTGGATGTTGTGTGTGCTGCTAGAAAATTCAAAGTGGTGTGACTGAGACATGTGACAGCATCCTATGTGTGTGTGTGTGTGTGTGTGTGTGTCTCGTTCTCTCTCTCTCAGACGGCCGTGGAGGTTTTCCGGAGGATGATCCTGGAGGCAGAGAAGATGGACGGCGGCGTGCAGCCAGGAAAAACGTCCTGCTCCATGATGTAGAGCCGCCCAATCAACACACAGGACACTGCACTGGGATATCCCGTTACTTGAAGGCTAGCTGCCAGTTCTCCTCCACCTCAGCTGACTCCACCCCTCCAGGGTCCTAAATATCCAATACTGTCTATTTATGGCTCTGATTCCACTGTTATTTATCAGTATTTCCTATTCCCCTTTGTCATCCTCATTTTTCTTTGTGTGTCTGATTAAAAAAAAGGGTAAGTTGTGGTTCCCTTGTCTTATATTTCCCATGATCCACCCTTCCTTTATGTCTGTGCTCGGCACTAATGCAAAACACAGAACATCATTTGGGTGTATCAGAAAAAATGTTTTCCTGTGCTCGACAATGACGACAACCGTAACTAAGGCCAGAGATGATAGTGGCTCGATGCATCTTAGCTTCTCATTATGCAGCTCCCATATAGGCTTAGAGCCCTTCTCTGTTTAAATAACGGGATTAGAGAAATGTCATGTCTGTCATACATACGCTCTGAAAATGGATAAATTAACATGAAAGTTTCTTCTGATACATCACCAGCTGTTTGGTCCCTCCAAATATACAGCTCTTTTTCTACTTCATCTCCACGCAGTACCCACTTCTCTGTTCCTCAGTTTGTTTTCATAGCGGTTACTGTCAGCCAAAAAATCTGCATCCATTTTCTAATGTTGAAAATGTTGTACAAATGTTTTTGATTGTAATCATTAAAGCAAAAAGTGGTTATGTAAAGCGCCCTGCTTTGAGTGTGAATTACTTTGGAGAGGCAGGGCAACTTTGTTTATTTAGCACCTTTTAAACAGTCTTCAAACTGATTTATATATGGATGGCAAACACAATTTTCTGCTTAACAGCTTTGGTTATTTCACACTACAAATTTCTGAATTTCACCAATTAGGATATGAATCTGGTGGTAGCTAGTTTGCTTACTGTCAGTCAAATCGGATCAAACCACATCCACTCTCTCCTGAAAATTAAAGCAAATTATACCTGTTTTTTTTCTTCTTGTCCTTATTAGCAGCAGTGTATTGAATGAGATGAAAGTTGCACCTTTTTGAGGATGTTTGAGAAAAGAGCATAACAATAACCCAACCTGCTGAAAATAAAGCATGGATAAGGTTAACTCTTTTCTAAACATGAATCCAATGATTCCTAATATTTTGTAGGATTATTAACCAGACTATGGATTTGGACCCTCGACCTTGGTTAGTTTTTTGACATTTTGGCTGTCAAGAAAACTATAGATTTCCAGACATAAGAATGAGAGCAAGCATTTGATCTTTGTGAAACCATTTTATTTTTTTATGGGAAGTGATTGACAGAGCAAATTTTGTTTTTTAGAAAAGCTGCTTTAAATTCATACACGTATTCACACGTGGGAGCAGCCTGCAGGAGTCATTGGGTTTAAGTGCCTTGATGTTCATATTACATTGTAATTTTCTTAGACTTTTACATTTAATTGTCAAAAGTGTTGCACATGTCATCACTACAGCACTTCATATTGATGAAGGCATTCATCTTGAGCATTTCACAGTCCGACAGAGCCATGCATTTCTGGTACTGGCCATCTATAAAAGTAAAGAAATGGAAAAGGTTGGCTTTTATCAACAAACACGCCCTTTACTACCACACTGTGGCAGAGACAATGTGTTCTGACATATTTACATGACTTGGCAAACAGTTTCAAGGATTTGACATGCAGTTGATTTTCTACTGTGTGTTATCTTGACTGATCCTATTTAACCACAAGAAGTCTTAAGGAGTTTTCTCTCTCTTACATCACCACTGAAGCCCTCTAATTCTGGTGCCACGGTGTGCTTGCAAATGTTCTTTGGTGTACTTGGCTTCGATTCACAGCAAAGTTAATACTTTTTTAAAAATTGTTCTTTTACTACCATTGTTTATTTGCTAACGATTAGACTATGTTGAGAAACTCACATGGTGCTCTGAGGAATTTGGCAGCAGCACAGCCATCCTTCTCCGGTTTACAGGTCTCTACAGTGGGCTCACAGCTCCCTCCAGCCTGTTTGGACACACAACGGTGGCAGTTCAGGGCTTCACCTGAAAAGCAAACAGAACAGCAAAAAAAAAAAAGTCAGTCATTGTTTTTCTTGAATTCTGTTATTATATGGCGGGTGTGTTTTCTGTAAGAATCTATCCAGGAACAATACATATTTGCAAATGATTAGTTGGGTTTGGTTTAGTAAATAGTTAAAGATGTGCATGAAGCCGCGTAGGAGGTAAGTCAATGGCTTTTTGCATAATTACCTTAATTTCTTAGTTATGTATCCCTACAATCTGTTGCATAATAAAAAGAATGCCTTTGTGTTTCTGACAGGTCTGCTGAGACTGTGTTCCTGTACAGAAGAGACTAACAGAGACAGCAGTCGCCCTGTTGCACAGCAGCAGAGGTTTTGTTTATTCAGTGGAGAATCAGTGACAGACTCACCAGCTGTAAACAGCAGGGCGACGGTCAAAGCCAAGACCAACAACTTCATTGTTCTGTTCACTACTGCAGCCTATGAGAGGATAAAGCACAGGTTTGATAATACAGTATGTACAATACTTCCAGTACTCAGGATTACATGCATGTCTACCATTGAACAGTGTTTTTTTTAGAGATACTTATCTCATGATTTATAGAGATTTTAAATATGTAGTCTGAATGATACAAATTCTGAGCAAAAACATGTGTTTTAGCATGCATGCACACCAATGCACAGTGCTACTGACATTTGAAAACATAATGTAATGCTAATATCAATTTTATATTGTTATTAAACATACACTTTTTTAGGAGGAAATTAGGTTAAATACACAAAATAAGATATAACTCAAACATTAGAAGAAAATAAAGGCGTTATTTTATGTTTACATACCTTGCTGACTTGTCTGCGTTGGCTTCTGCCAATGACTGTGAGGTACTCATCGACTGTCCCTCTTTTTATACCCATTCATACTTTGTCCTGTCATGGTAACGTCCCATTAATGGTGTATTTGTGTTAAGTCTATATGCTTAGCACCTCGCTCACCCTGGGTACACAGTGTTCAGGGGTCACAGTTTCCCAATGCTCAAGTTCCTGCATTATGCAAGAGCTGCCCACCCTTTGTCCACTTCTGTATATAATTTATGAGACTGCAAATATTCATGTATGCATTTGTCACAGACTCAAATAAAGATTTCTATTAGTTGGATTTGTACCTTAAGAGGACAAGAGGATATTAGTCAAAGGTACAGTATATTTGCTTTATCAGGAAGGATAATGTCTGACCCATATGAGGTTTAATAACTTTGGTTGAGCTTTAACCAACATATGAGAACTCTGAATTGACTTGAACTACCACTTAATATAAAAATATGGAAGAGATTGAAAGACTGGCACCCTCAGCAGCTGTTATTCACAGTACAATTCAACAGAAATGCTGCACAAAAGACCAATATATGTTTTGGGTGCAGATGTTAGGAAAGGTTTTATGTTATGTTTTCTACTGTGGAGAAAGAGAGATGGGGGGATGAAGTCATACAGTTTGTGAAAAACAGCCTTTATCTGTTTTGTATCCTGCTCCGCTCACCTAAACCTTAAAACTGGCCATCTTTGATATTGCAACTGAGAGTTTTCTCCTGAATTTTCATGGGTCAAGGTCTAAATAGATCCAGGGATGCTCTCGGGATCAGCAACTGATAAACAACAACAGAGAGGGATCTGAAAGGAAAAGCTGGAGGGAAATCTGCTTTGGAGTATGACATCTGGGCTGTTCTGCTCACCCTGACACAATCAAAACTCAGACCTAGTTAAATAAGGCTTTGAAAATGGCATGGGGCCACACCTCATTGTTTCTATATGTTCCCAGTCACTTGCCCAGCCTGTCTGAAGACTGATTCCTTGTTTGCACTGGGTCATTCATGTCCTTTCACCTCTGCTTTAACTTTCCCTCTCTGTTTGTTTTCCTCCTTACCTGGACACAACCCAAATATTACACTGCAACCCCTGGCTCAGTGCAACATCACTCCTAAAGCCCAATCAAAGCAAAATCTCTCCCTCTATTGTTTCGCCCCCCAGAGCCAAACTCCAATATCAGCACTGGCACATGTAAGGGAAACTGTCCATGAGGCAAAATGTCTAAACCCCCCATTGTTGTGCTTTTGTTGCCTCAGCCTCGCGATACCACCGCTCTCTCTGTTGGCCATATATATCTGAGTGTCCAAATTTTTCCACTCTTATACTGTGTGACTAGTTTGGAACAGCAAACAGTGGAAAATGTCTCAGTACTCAGGAAAGGTGAGTACCACGACAAGGGAGTGTGATGCAGCCACAGTAGAACCTTCCCAAATGTGTGCATGTGTGTCACAAACAAATGTTAAACACAAATAATGTATATTACTGGTCAAAACCTCAGATATGACTTTGACAGGGGTTGAATGGCGCATCTTTCTATGTACAAAACATTTTCCGTATCTGTGAGGAGAAAAAAAAAGAAGAAATTCTTAATGTTCACTAAAAACAGATCGTGTTCTATGAGGGAAAATGCTTCACTGGGAGGAAGCTGGAGATCTGCGGCGACTGCGACAACTTCCAGGACCGCGGCTTCATGAACAGGGTCAACTCTGTCCGTGTGGAGAGCGGGGCCTTCATCTGCTTTGACCATCCAGACTTCAAGGGCCAACAGTACATTCTGGAGCACGGAGAGTACCCTGAATTCCAGCGCTGGAATGCCCATAATGATCACATGGGCTCCTGCAGGCCAATCAGGATGGTAGGAGTGATGTGTGTGTGTGTGTGTTTGTGTGAGACCCCAGGGACAGAAAAATATTTGGTTGTTAAAAAAAGCTGGCAGACTGGCATATGTGTGGCCTCATCTGTTTTTCAAATAAATCAAAGTCTGAACGATTTAAATAACTTAAAAATAAAACAGGAATTAATCCTGCAGCACAGAGGCATATTGGCAACTTGCAGGTTTTCACATCACATATTGGCGCCATCAGCTGAAAGAAAAGCCACGCATGTAAAGCACTTAAGCAACAGACTGCAAGCTATACATATCATCCTCCACATGTACGCCTAACCTTTAGATTTCTATAGGTGTGTTTGTATAAGTGCTTGCTCACTCAATGCAGTCCTCGCCACATAAAGGAGGAGGCCACAGTCAGTCGCAGTGTGAGGTGAAGGCGAACATTGTTGCTATGACTCAGCAAGAGGCCATGTCATTATTCTCCCCAGCATGGAGAGCACTACAGGATGGAGCTGTTCGAGGGAGACAACTTCAGTGGCCAGTGTGTGGAGATGTGCGATGACTGTCCTTTCCTGCAGGCACGAGGCCTGACCAAGAACTGCATCAACTCCATCAGGGTTTATGGAGATGGAGCGTACGTATCTCTGCAGCAGAGGGATAGTTAGTGTTAGATTTAACCTGGTTGGAGTGCATGAGAATATTTTAGTAAATTGTACTTCATTGATGGAGGCAATGATAACTCAAAAGGGTCAGTTCCCCCAATTTTTTATTATTTTTTTAAAGATTTATTAATTTATTGTATTTAACTTTAGCCTATGGAGACTGTAGACAGGACAGGAAACATGGGGAGAGAGACGAGGACAGGACATGCAACAAATGTCCCTGGCCAGAATTACCCGCCTCTCACAAAAAAGCCCCACAGAAACAGAATAATTCTCACTCTTCACTTGTAGTTTTCACTTGTTTGTTTAGTTGTTGGTTTTTTTTTTCCGTCTAGGTCTGAACATAGAAATCCAGCAGTAATGTTTATATTATATAATATCAGCACAATAAGATGGACATGTATAATAGATAGATTTATCTTAAAAAATGAACAGATCTTTCCAGAAACAATGTCTGTGAATAGGTCACTTAACACCGTGTCAACAGCTCTTCCAATAGGTAGAGAGTAGATACAGTGGACTACGTACACAGCAAGGTCTGTGCATCATACTGAATAACTAGGGAACATTCATTTCACCTGCATTGTGTTGGAGTGCTCTGAGAAATCTCAGAGATGGGGTGCCCTGGTGGCCAAGGTGTTTAATGCACTCACCATGAACCCATTTTCCCTCCATTTCCTCGTATTTCCTGTCATCTCTCCACTCTCAACCCTTTATTGAGGACATAAAATACATAAATGTTTCTTAGAGGTGGATATCTCAGAACTTTGGAACTTAACTGCACTTAACAGTTAAATGTTAAGAGGTAAGTAAGAAAATGTTATTATATTTTGATTGCACCCTTTAAACCTTAATTTCAGACAGTATATAAACCAAGTCAGACAGATTATTGGCAGACATATGTCACAAACTTCACCGTCCATCCCCTGATTCACACTGTATATAGCATATTTGCAATTATTAAGCTGTTAATTCATTTTGCCCAAACAGCTGGGTGCTGTATGAGGAGCCTAACTACCGTGGACGCATGTACATCGTGGAGAGAGGAAGCTACTGCACCCACATGGAGTGGGACGCAGAGAACCCCAACATCCAGTCTGTTCGCAGAGTGGCGAACTATTTCTAAACCATCGCATCTCCGTCACTGGCAATACGACCGCAGGGACGAGATCATCAACCGAGGAAAAACACACCACACTGTCAAGTAATCTCCCGCTGACTCTGTGGGGCTGTAAAATAATAAAGGATGAAGAAAATGTTTGACTTTGCTTGTTGTTTTATTTTTGTACTGAATTATTCAAAGGCTGAAATAAAGTAGTGAACCTACAATATCTTCAATCTTATTTCCATTTTTTCTCCCTTTATGTGCACTCAGTATGAAACTTACCAATCATTGTAGAAATGGCCTCAGGCTATGATTTAGGTAATTGCTTTCTATTATATGCCATAACTCCAATACCTATAAGTGTTGTGCCTTTCCTCACACTAATGGATCCATTACCAAGTTACATGAGACGCTGTGGATAGCACTGAGCACAGATTAATAGATAGGTGGACATTTTATTTATCTAGGAGAGAATGAATTACTTTAGTAGTAAAAACAAAAATGCAGCCTGATACAATACAAAACAATGTGCTCATATTTAAACTGTCAAAGACAGAAGAAAGGAGTCAGCCAGCCTTTTAGTAAACACATTCCCTCATACAAGTGAGTGTTAGGCAGTCAGTAGTGAACAATAGAAACTGTGTGTCCTCCCTACATATACAGTGTATAAATCAAGAGTGAAAGAGAGATATTGCACAGGTTGAAGCTGCACCTGCCCTGGGGAGCTCTGCTACCATCTAGTGTCATTTATCTATTTTACTGTGAAGTCGTGACGCTCACCTTGGGGTTTGCAAAGTGATCACAGTGGGGACTTTGAACAACAATGACACCAACACAGAAAAAAATATCTGGATTTATTTTTTCTCTATTGAATGCAAAGAATGGAAACAAGTATTATGAATAATGTATTAAGTAATCTCATCCATTAAGAGTTTATCCTCCTAATTTCAAGCTTATATTCAGTTTTTCATCATATTATGCACACAACATGTATGCATTATGTATGTATGATTATTACAATGCAGTGTAGTGACAGACGGGTATACGTTGTATTTAACAGCCTTTTATAACACAATTACCTCATTATTTTATGGTTGTTTTTTTTTTAATTATGCACCACTGCATCATTTCCCCACATGCTCTTATTCCTCAAGGAATGTCACACCATGGCTGTGGCTCTTGGACCTTTAATGAGCACTTATGTGCTTTCTCTTCCAACTGTCATGACAACAGATCACGTATCTTTACAAGGTTTCGCTCATGGCCTCTATTGAGTTACAGGGTCAATATAGGATAGCTTAATGAGGAAATGCTTTGTCTTGAGTTACACTCAACGGCACTAGTTTGAGGGCGATTACCTATGGCTAACCTTATTCCTAAGCCATTTACTGCTTGAATTGGCTGGGTGTCACCAACATGCCATTAGTCTGGATGTCAAAGACGAGAAAGAGAGAGGGACCGGTGAGCACTGCTTAATGGCATTTTAACAATGTCATTGCTGATTTTCTCTGATGATGGGATTTATTATTCTACACAAAGGACGTCTGTTTTGAAAGAGCTTGTATTAAATGCTACAATGCAAACTATGTGCCATGATATTTTTTATTATAAACTATCTACTTTATGCCATAAGTAAGCCTTGATTACGTGGTCTAATGGAGGTATGCATTTCTTCTTAAGTGGGGGGAATTACAAAGGAGAAGCATACCCAATTAGTCTGAGGAAAATGACTCAAACCTTAACTCTTTTGAAAGAAATACTTCTAAAAGGGATTGTCTGTCGTCTGGGAGACTTGATGAGTGGGTAGGTTGACCTATCCCTTGACACAAAAACATCCTTTTTAAAAAAATGTTATGTGACAGATTCTTTAGGAAGTATCAGCAGAAGTAGTATTTAAAAGAACATTATGTTTTGGAAGATCATATGCTTCCTGTTTTGTGATAATAATAAAAATGATTAATTATGAGCTATGGTTGGGCTCTATTTTAGTTTTGCAGTGTGAGATATGTTTTATATTTAACACTGTCTGGTGGCGAAATGAGTAATTAGAACGAATACATTTTAAATAGCATTTATTGTATCCTCTTACTCTAAATAAGGTCAGCTATTTTTAGCACTCCCACTTATGCATAAAATATCATTCAGATACTCAAAAACCAACTGAATTTATTATTCTATTTGTGAGGCTGTAAGAGACATTTAGCACATTGAAACGAGCAGAATGCTATACTATTTTACTTAAGTAATATACGAGCTAATTTAGATTTTGAACTTGTAAATGAGGGTTAACTGTATTGATGTGATCTAAATAAAATGAAAATAGAATGCGTAGAACCTAGACTTTGTATCGGCATTTTTTTAATTAAAATACTGCAGCACATTATTTCTATAACACGTTTTTTTTTTATTTTATTAGAGAAGCTATAAATAGTTCACTATTAAATAGATAAATAAATAAATAAATAGTTCAAAAAAACAGTGTGCATTATCCGAAAACCTCATTTAAACCCCGGGCTAAATGATAAGAGCCGAAAAGTGGACTATAAAATACCAACTCTGACCACAGAAAGTGCAAGTGTTGTATCAGCTGGAACCGGGACAAATACTAACGTGGAAAAAAACCCACATCTTTCTCCAACACCTCACATTCCTTCCATTAGGCTTTGTATAATTAAAAAAAAAATAACGTGATAAATATCGATACGAGGCGAAAATAAAGCCATTTCAGGCGTGTATCTACGGTGTCGTGCTAAGGTCACTCGCTGGCTGCCTGAATTCCCCTCTTTGTGTTTACACATCCGGGTTTCCCTGTTTGCAGCCCATTCCCCATTTAGAAGCCATTTTGGACACAGATCAGTAACATGCATGTAAACCCCGACCGACCTCCCGATGCAGCGGTGCTTCTATTCAAGTGAATAACCTCAAAAAGAGCGCCGGGTTTTCGTCTCGGATGGTTTAACGGCTTCCCATTCGGTTTCTGGATCCACTTCCGACGCGAAATGCCGCACCTATTAATGTACTAACAGTCTGGCAGTCAATTAATCGCTCCTATCTTTTCTCGCAACATTGTTGCAGCGCCGCGGCTATTGACACGCGCTGTGGTGGTGGTGGTGGTTAGGCTGCGGAGGGACCGGAGGCCTGTGGTCGTTTTGATCCTGGACTGATGTTTTGGACAACCTGAGTTTTAATGTTCGCGACGGAAAGTGGGGGAAACCTCTGTCCTGTATTTCAAACGGAACATGTCTTTTTCGTGGCTGACTTGTTCACTTCTTCTGGGAACTTTATGCGCAGGTAAGCTGCCATTGTTGGTGGGGAATTTGCAACAGTTTTTTTTTTTCCTTCTTCTTCCCTGAGTCGTTTCGTCCCGAGGCAGACACATTTGTGTGTGTTTGTGGAAATTATCTGCGTTTGAAATGTCGACCCGCGAACGAGTTTATGTTTGCTGGCTGATTAAACTTTGTTAGCAGTGGACTACGGTTCAGCTGTGGGGATTTTATTCTGTTCTTAGCCATAATCGCCTTTTCTCGGTTTGCCCCCCTTCCAACACATCAATTTTACACACGGGCATTATCCTAGCAATGGCTGCGACTTTTCATTTTTTGAAATGACGCTAAAGGACATTTAAATGCCGTCTTTCATGTTGAGAAATTCCCCTAAAAATATATATATCCCAATGTGAAACTGTTGCGTCCCTGTCGCCTTTCTTTAACAGTGGCAGGAATAGAAGGCAGCAGCTGCATCAACATCCTGAAACCTTATAGGCTACATCTCGGGTCTGCACTCTTGTTTGTGGTCACAGCCCGAACAAGAGCCTCTGAAAACACACACTTTTTTCCTCTGAGAGGATTTTCAGAAATCAGTGGCTGTTTGATTTGAAGGGACAGCCGCTGTTTGTCTGAAGTCGGGTCCTTACCCTCGATCGAGGTTACTGTTACATAGCTCTTTGACTTTTGTACCACGTGAAATTGAACATGGGGGCTTGTTTTTTTCTTTTTGTTTGGCTCTTTTTGTTTTGCAACTCACACGAGGGGTGTTTTTATTGTGTGCCCCCCTAGCTAGGGACCCCATATTGTGACTAAACAGTTGCTTTGAGAACAATAATATCCCCCCCCCGCACACACACACACACACACACACACACTTCACGAAACGTTTTTAGATTTTTCCTCGAACTGTAATAAAAATTTCATTGAGGCACAGCTGTCTCTTGTGTGCCAAATATCGCTGTGGCTAATGTCTTTATGGTTTATAGATTAGGGCTCGGAGTGTAGGCAATAGTAAGCTGCTTCTCCTGAATTCATGTTGTTGTTGGTGTAAGCCTCGGTAAGTGACAGAGGGAGGGGGAGGGGGTTGGGGAATGATCTTGTAGTAAAAGTCCTCCCGGATCATGTGACCAGAGATATCAGAAATGCCATCTCGGCTCAATGGACCATTGAGCATCACTGCTCTGTGTGTGTGTGTGTGTGTGTGTGTGTGGGGGGGGGGGGGGGTTTTTTTTCGGGTGGGGCCCCTGGCAGCCATTGTCTTGCAGTACAATGATACGGCTCACAAGTGAGCAGTGGGCCAATAATGAGGAGGAGGCCCCACTGCACAGCGTGTCCCTGCCAATTGTTCTGCCGCCACAGTGGGAGAATGGAGCTGTCCACACACACACACACACACACACACACACACACTACATTACACATCCATACTCCTAACA